AATAGTTGGCATTGTTTATTTTTTAAATCAGATAGATGACAACAAACATATACAGTAATTTGCACATATCTCAAATACAAAATATCTATACAATCAATACTTCAAGATAGTATCTAACCTTTCTACAAGTCTGGTCAACAAAGTTTCCTTACAGGGTTTTTTACTTTAATATATTAAGTAGATAAATATAAAGTAAAGATTAGTTTATTTAGTAGTATATAATTTTTACAAGCTATTTACAGGCTTATAACTATAGTATTAGGTTTTGCAATTTTTTTTTTGTTTTGGTTATATTATTCTCTTATTCTTTTTACTTCTTGTTTGTATTTTTTTATCATAGACCTCTATACTTCTGTTTTGTTTTTTAGTTTTTTTTTGTTTTTTGCTGTTTAATATAGGATGTTAGCCTTTAGCTAAGGATCTGAAGGATCAAATCCTCAGTAAGTTGAGGAGTTGATATAAAGCAAACTGGCTATTTTAACAGATTACACTTGGGCCTTATAGCTGAATAAGTTTTTATTAGAATAGAATATAGTACAAAAGATTATATCAAAATTACTATCTATAAAATATAGTTTTTTAGTATTTCTATAAATATAATAAAAGCAAGATTGTTTAAAAAAAAAACAAACAAAAATAGCACTATTAAACCTGTGCTAGATTGTAAAAATTATATAGTACTACTAAATAATCTAGTCAGACTTTATACTAGTTATTTAAGTCTATATCTAAAATATTAAAAAGAAGAAAAACTATTCATTCTTAAGTAAAGATTTAAGTTTGAAATTTTTATTCCATTTCATTATATTTTTATCAATACTTTTATAATGCTATTCAAATATAACCTTTCTATACAATTCTTCTTATTACGTCTATAAGCCCAACTAAGTTGAGACTTCTATCATAACCTCTGAAGAGCAGAAAATCAAATATACTATTTAGTTCAAAGTAAACACATACACATATATATGTATTTTCTTTTTTAGTAGCAATTATTGGTATTAATCTTTTGATAGAAGTATGCTAAATTCCTACTTTTTGTTAAAATTTCGAAAAGTATAGCAAGTGAGATAGTAAAGAGAAGTTTGGTTTGTGGGTAGCCTTAAACTTTGATAGAAAGTTTATTAAAAACTCGCTTGTTGTTTTCTTTTTTTTAGACCAACTATTTTCACTTCATCAACAGAAGCTATACTTCTATTAAAATTTTTTGTATAAGAGCGCTACCTTTTTACTAGTTATCTTATACAAAAATGCTTTTAACTTGCTTGTTAAATATACAAAGAAGTCTGATAGGAAAACACAAATATTTTAATCTCTGTAAAAACTATTATTTATAGTTGTTTTCTATCTTCTTTAACAAGTTTCTGTTTTATTAGCTGTAAGTTTTGTTCAAGTAATTATTAGAAAGAATTGTCTTAATAAGTTTGTATAAATATATATATTTATTTATTTAATATTTATTTTATATATATATATATAATTATTTATATTATTTATATATCTATATATTTATTTATTGGATAAATATATATACTATACTCTGTGATATGCTAATTCATCACATATATATAAATTATAATTTGTAAATCTGTGTCAAAATAACTTTGTATAAAAATTAATTAAATTAAGATTAGAGTTAAAGTTAGGATTAAGGTTAGGGTTAGAGTAAAGTTAGTATATACCAAAATTTTGCAAAGAATTTTTTTTGTTAGAATATGTAAAATAGTTTTATAGACAAAATTTTAAGATATTACAAAATATCTCATTTTTGTTATACAAAATTAATTTGTATATCACATATGATCTTTAAATTTAATTGGACAGGTGATATAACTAGGCAAATAAAAACTATTTTAAGTTTGAAGAAAAAACCAATACAGATTAGTTTGACCAAATGGCTATTTTCAAAATATAATAATTGTTTTGATCTGATCAACTAATCAAAAGTCTTAATTTGTGGACACACATACAAACAAGTCACTATACCTCTACCATAATGTCCTTCAGACAATAACTATAATATAGGAGTACAAAGCCTAGAAAATTTCTTATTTATTTATAGATATTTATATTTAAGAGACTAGTTTTTATACTCCTAAATTTATTATTTATACTTCTGCAGATTTAATTTTTTTTAAACTTTAAGCTAAGATATCTCAGTAATTACCAAGCCAAATTTGATAAATTTTTTTTCTTTGAATTTTATAGATTTATAGAATTTAAATAAAAAAAGTTTATTGAATTTGAACCAGTAGTTACTGAGATATTTTTGATCAAAGTTTAAAAACAAATCAAAAACAAACTATACAAAATTTTCTTTAAACTTTAAGTAAAGATATCTCAGCAACTACTAAGTCAAATTTGATGAATATTTTTGTATTTGAATTCTATGAATCTATAGAATTCAAATAAAAAGAAATTATTGAAATTGACTTGGTGGTTGTCAAGGTATCTTCACTTAAAGTTTTAAAAAAATTTAAAACGTCTATCAAAACAAAAGCTATACCAAAATTTTTTCTAAACTTTGAGTGAAAATATTTTGACAACTAGCAAGCCAAATTTGATAAACTTTTTTTTGTTTCAATTCTATGTATTCATAGAATTTAAACAAAAAAAAGTTCATTAAATTTGACTTGGTGGTGCTGAGATATTTTTACTCAAGGTTAAGAGAAAATTTTGATATAGCTTCTGTTTTGATAAACATTTTGAATTTTTTTAAAACTTTAAATGAAGATATCTTGACAACTACTAAGTCAATTTTAATAATTTTTTTATTTGAATTCTATATATTCATATTCAAACAAAAAAAATTCATCAAATTTAACTTAGTAGTTACTGAGATATTTTTGCTCAAAGTTTAAAGAACATTTGTATAGTTTGTTTTAATAGATATTTTGATTTGTTTTCAAACTTTGAGCAAAAATATCTTAGTAACTACTAGGCCAAATTTAATGAACTTTTTTTTATTTAAATTTTATGAATCTATAGAATTTAAAAAAAAAATTTATCAAATTTAACTTGGTAATTACTGAGATATCTTCGCTCAAAGTTTAAAAAAAAGTTAAATCTGTATAAGAGTATGAATAATAAATTTGGGGTATAAAAACTAGCCTTCTTATATTTATTTATTTATATATTTATAAATTATTAATTTAATTCGTGATTCGTGAGTGATGTACAAAAATTAATTATTGCAGATCGTGTGATTTTTTTGATAGTATATATATAAACTAAATATGACTAGAAATTTTTGTTTTATAGCTTTTGTTTTTTATATATAATTATTCTGATAAATATAATAAATATTCAACTACTACGTGTAAACTATCATTTATTATAAATCACAAATTCTTGTTTCTTTTACCACTAGTATATTATTTTCGTTCTGGTGCTAGATTATAAGTAGCAAATAATTGAATGATTCAAGACAAAAAAAAAAACAAATCAGATCATCTACGTAAGTTCTATAATAACCTTTTTTTTCAATATTCTAAGCATAATTTTAGATCAAAATCTTAGCTGACTATATAAGCTATTTTGATTTTCTAATAATATTTTGACAGCTTAGAATTCTAACAATTTCAAAGTCAAAAAAATAGATAGTTTGCAGTTAAGGTGAATATTCCAATATGAGTATTAAGGCTATTGTTGGGTTCTTTATATAGGCTCTTGTAAGTATAAATATTTGCCATTACTATATCAGCAATACGGCATTGTGCCATGATTTTTTTTTTTGCATATAACTTCGCATTTTGCCATTACATATACTTACGATTTATACTATCTTGATTTTTTCTTTATTATATTAGTGGTAAACATTTGAGTTAGGATATCAGTTGGTGATATAAAGCAAGAGAATGGTGTTTTATGACATGCTAAAAGTAGATGTGAAAGCGCAAATAGAACGTGTCGATGTTAAAATGGTTCTACCCCAAAATTCTGAAATCCAAAATCCCAACATACATAATTCCGACTAAGACAGAATATTGACAAGTCAAAATTCCGACTAAGACATAATCTTGACAGTTTAAAATCCTGATATTCAAAATCCTGAATAGTTAAAATCTCAACAATACATAATCAGATTATATACTTTCAGGATTTTGACCGTTCTGGATTTGAATATCAGGATTTTAAACTGTTGGGATTCTGTGTTAGTCGGGATTTTGACCTGTCAGTATTATGTCTTAGTCAGAATTATGTATGTCAGAATTATGTACTGTCAGGATTTTAGATTTCAAGATTTTGGATAGAATCTGTTAGAATACTATGAATGATATATGTAGTTATCTATAAAAACTAAGATACAAAAAATAAATCGACTTGTTTATCATTGAATTCATTTTTATGTAAATACTTTGTCTTAATAAGTGAATACCAATCTACATTAGAGCCAAATTATGTATATTGCATAAACTCTAATCGATTGTGGCAATATATAATAATTATGAATGCTGCTTCTAAAAATAAAGTCAATTTAGTATAGAATTGTGTTTTATCCAATTGATAGTTGGCTATTCGATTTGATGCGTTGAATTGTAAATTGAAATTACAGATTGATAAGTTTCGATAAATTAGTTTTCGTATAATTTACAATTTGAATATATGATATAGTTCTTAAGATCAAAATTTCAGAGTTGAGAAATTGCAATTCGGCAATAATACTGAGACTTCATATACAATTCTGAAGCTTACATATATTGTATAACTTTCATAATACAACCTTAATAGTAGGTATGGTTGTAAAATTACTGTAATTTTGCATAATTTTATATAATCTTGTGCAAGTTTCAGTTGTAATTTGATTACAGAAATTACATATCACATGCTCAAAGTTACAAAGTTTTCAGTAATCGAAGAATCACATATCCAAATAATGAATTTGTAAAACTAGCGCTAGTGCTTTTATATATAAAATGAAGGAAGTTATACGAAATTTGATTTACTATGCTTAAAGCTTTATTATATTTGAATAAAGCCCAAAATTAATATTCTAAGATTCATATCAAAGTTTGCGCTTTTTCAGCTAACTCCTTTTTATACTGCCATGCATAACGTCCAATCCAATTTTCGATAGTCTTGAGCTTTGGTACCTCACTATTTTCTAATTTTCCCGCTTCCGCCCTTTTCTCTAATACATCAAGCATATCTTTTGCACTATACCATTTGCTTTTGTCAATATCACCAGCATGAAAAAAGCTTTTTAATAATTCTGTTATACGAGCTATCATATGTTTACATCCTCCCCGTTTTCCAAATTCTTGCATTTCTTTCAATACCCACCCTATACGAAAATATTCAGATCTATACAATTTTTAGAATAAGAAAATTATTTCACGAATTCTAATAATATCTAATCAATACTTGATTTCTGGTTGGTTTTCTTTGTCTAAAGATAAGACTTGTTTTTTTTTATTCTCTTGCATTTTAGAACTCGTAATTGTCTTTTTTTCTATGAAATTATTTGTGCTGGCTACTTGCCGTGTTGCTATGGTATAAAAATAATATTAGAACAGACATAAGTTTATAATTATATCAATATAGTACCTTCAATTATATCTGAGATTTTGGATTGTATATTCGTCTTTAACATAATGACTAGCTCTGACTTATCCTGTTCTTCATCATATTCTATGCCTCTTTTGTTCAATTCTTTTTTGATCGCATCTTTTGTTAGTCAGCTAGGATCAGGACCTAAAAATAAAAGTAATAGTGAATTATAAAATTTATGATTTTATAATTGTATACCATGAATAAGCATTTTTTTATAAAATTTTGCAGCCTAAATTATTAGAATCTAGTAATTGTATTCAGAAAATTTTAGTATTTTTCAATTTGTTTTGATTAAAATTTCTGAATATAATTATTAGATCCTAATAATTTTGATTACTTATTCGTAGTAGAATATAGTAACTTATCTGATAACGGTATTGGTATTACCCATTGGGAATTAGGATTTGTATAAGTAGAAACTTCAGGATTTGGTTGATTTAGGTTTTTTTCTTTCATTGATTTACAGATTTCTGTCAGAGATATATTTTTCCATTCACCAAAATGTGGAAGAGGTCAAGCATACAAAAAATCTGCAAATTCATCTTCTACTGGATATTTAAACTGATATCAATTAGAGATCCCAGGAAGTTTAGGTTTATTCTTATTGATATTTTTTCGATCCGGTTTAATATTTGCTACAGTTGTTCCTCGAATATTTTTTATTGCCTTTTTGATATCCTCACCTTCATTTATACTATAGCCCAATCGAACATACCGTTTTATAGCATGGGCAATCTTAAATAAAATATTTGTAGTAAATATTACAATATTAAATTATAGAATTTTTT